TGCACACGCATGTGCACACAGCTCAATGCACGCGCACCAGCCTGCCATTCTCATTAATTAAGTTGCGCGCACCTGCGCACTTGGCTCTCTGTTCATGTGGCACAGTTACAAATAGGCTGTAGCCGGATAGTGGGCTACAGCCCAGAGGTTGGGGACCCCTGGTTAGGCTAGAAAATAGGACACTGTGAGTTCTAGTCCCCACCTTAAGTCATGAAACCAGCTGGGTGACCTTGGGCCAGTCACTCTCTCTCGGCCCAATTCAACTCACAGGGTTGCTGTGGTGGAAAAAAAATAGGACAAAAGTGTGTTATTTATGTTCAGCATCTTGAGTTATTTGTAATAATAATAAAGGAAGGACATAAATAAATTATCTGGAGTTTGGGGGGCCCTCTTGCCCACCCAACCTGCTGTGACTTCAACAACTCAACTGAGATGAATGATGCTATCAAAGTTCTTGGGTCTTCTATATCATTCCAAATCTAACTTTATGGATTTTAAGGATCTTTTTATTATAAACTTATTATAAGATAGTAAAGACTGCCATTGCAGCAAATTTGAAGATTAGAATAGCATTTTAATAAAAGGTAAAGGTGTCCTCTAACCAGTTGTGTCTGACTCTAGGGGGTGGTGCTTATCTCGTTTCTTAGCTGCGGGAGCCAGCCAATGTCTGAAGATGTTTCCATAGTCATATGGCCAGCATGACATCATGCCATAGTGCAAAGCGTGTGGTGAAACATGGAACGGTGTTACCTTACCACCAAAGTGGTACCTATTTATCTACTTGCATTTCCATGCTTTCAAATTAATAGGTGGTCAGGAGCTGGGGCAAGCATAGATGTCCTCTATTTCAGAGTAGTGTTCCAGATTTCACAAATTTGAAACAAGACGAATGTAGGTGAAGTTTGGTAAACACATCACTTAATTCAACATGAGGTTTAATTCTTCTCTACTTCCCACCCTGTTATTAGCTTCCTTAAAGAAAGAAAGAGAACAGGGATTATCACAAGCAGCTGAGAAAGATTGAAGGGCCAAAGTATACTCCCCACCATCAGAACAGAGTCTGCAAAGGGTGTAAAATATATTATGGTTACTATTACAACCACTCCTGTTAGCCCACACACAGAGAGAGAGTTAAGGAAAACAAACTATGAAAGAAGGAACATGAATGAGTTAATTCAAGGTACTTTTCAAGAGAAAAAAATAACATGAGAGCAAAAATAAACTTTTTTTGTAACAAATATGTAAATGAAGAAAACTGAAGGAACTCTCCCACAACCAAGATATAAAGAACAGACAAGGAAAGAAGTAGCTTTTCCTAAAGATGAGTTCTGAAAGAAATATAGATAACATGAATTGGATAAATCTGTACGTGGAATTAAGGCAAGATATGGTGAATCCTACCTTTAAGACATGAAAAGGGCCCAACCCCCCACCATGCAACAATTATTCCTCCTAAAATGAAGAAAAAGCAGTATATATTTTATCCTTCGATGAGGGAAATTTGGATAAGAAATGTAATCTCTAATGTGGTCAGAATTTCATCACAACAAGAAAAGCTTTTTTTAAAAAAACTCATATTTCTGGGACTGGTTTCTTCCTACTTGAAATGTTAAGACTGCCAACATGGCACCCTACACCACCTATTTATAAGTACCACAGAGAAGATGCAAATGAAGGGAGAGTCTGCTTCCCAGAGAGACACATTCAAGAAAAGAGTGAAATTTTCCAATTTCCATTCATGAATCCACTTGTTCCTGCACATCCTAATCAACTTCACAGACTAAAATCAGGATAAGATGGAAACAACAGCCATCACTTCCACTACTTTAAAATATGCTGAATAATGATTTTAACATTTGATGACATAAAACAATTGTCCTCTCTGTGAAATTGGGAAACAAAAGAATACTCTGGGGTGTAAAGAAATAGAAAACAGAAAATGCTTTCCACACTTTTTTCCTTTTAAAGGGAACTCTTCAACTCAGTGCAATTAGTGTATAGGAAATCTATACAGATTTAAATTATAAAAATATATTATTATAAAATAATATCATATATTAATATAATTCATTATTTTATAATTATAAAGATGCAGAATCAAACTGCATAGAGGCCATGCCCTCTGACTTGATAAAATAGTTTTCTTCCAAGCCAAAGCAGTTTTACCGCTTTTTGCATCCACTTATATTGGCATAAATTATAGAATTCTTTATTGGACACACAAGGAATTTGTCTTTGGTGCATATGCTCTCAGTGTACATAAAAAGACAAGATACATTCGTCAAGAATAATAAGGTACAATACTTAATGATAGTCATAGGGTACAAATCAGCAATCAAATCATACTAGGAAACAATATATATATGCAATCACCAAGAAATCCAAACTTCATTTTGCTAAACATGCATATTTATTTAGCCATTTATGGCACATTCCATCATTAGCAATACCAACTATCATATGCACATTTTACTCATAAAATGCAAAGGGTACAAGAAGACATGGCTTGTGATGGCCCATTTCAGCCACAGGACTTAAAGAAAGGAGGGAAGCAGAACCACAGTAGTTTTTACTGAATGAGAATTAAGACCACAATGATTTCTGAGAGGACGTCAGCCAAGCAACCAATTTGAATCTTATCTCTGAAGGAACAGAAAATTACAGTGGGCTTAGTACCCAGGTACTTAAAATTCCTCCTCCCCCACTAGGATCCAATTTGTATATTAAGACAGCTGGGAAGCCCTGCTCATGATCCTATTATGGGTTAACTCAAAGTGGTTAAGAGAAGGGCCACAGTGATCACATTCCCAATTCTGTTGAAGAGCTACATAAATCTAAGGCTACCCAATTTTCACACTCACAAAAAACCCTCCATACAGGCAGGGATGTATGCCACTCTGGGAATTTGCATATATAAATTATACTTTTGTTTTCAGTAACATGCAAAACATTTAAAAAGGAAAAAAAAACCTAAAATAAGAAAGGCGAGAAATGGTTCCCTCCCACCAAAAGTCTGTCAGAACTTGGATGAGGTGGTTCATCCATATTTGGACCTCCTTCTGGCATGACGTGCAGGATTCCTCTAACCATGTATTTTTTTTGGGGGGGGGGGTTCTCTGAATTTCCACTTCTCTCTCTCTATTTATATTTAGATTGGGAGAGGAATCCTCATTATTTTTTTAACCAAAACAACTTTGCAAATATCAAATACATGCTAGTCTGAGATGAGAAACCTGCAGCCCTCAGGCTGATTTCACAAAATCTTTGACCTACTTTTAAACCCATCTGCAAAAGATCAATTCAGACCCCTGGTATAAGTATCTCCTTGCAGCCTGCTGCTTGAAAAAAAAACAAAAGAGGACTTATGACTAAAGGGGGGGGGGAACAGAATTTCAGGAAAATGAGTGGGAACATCCATTTTTATCACTATCCCCACCTACTGTTTTCTATCCATCATGTGGTCCCCAAAAAATTTAACTGTGAGATAAAATAGCCCTCCACACAAAAAGCTGCCATCCCAGTCTGGGATGATAGTAACCAGCATCATAATCAGTGAATAAAATTAAAATCTGATGCCCTAAATCCCAGATTTATCTCAATAGTATTCCAGTAACTGCAAACATCTGAATAAAACAAACCTCCAAAAAGCTGTATTTAAGGATTTCCCCAGCCTTCCTCAACCTGTCCCTCTCGGGCTGTGTTGGAATACAATTCCCATCAGGCACAACTAACACAATGAGCATGTTGGCTGGAGTGTTGTAACAATATTGTTCCAGGAGTTGCCCCATCCAGAGGACCTGACTGGAAATGGCTGCTTCACTCATCTGTCATATTTGCTATGGAAATGTTCATTTGCTGGTTTAGATTTAGATCCCACTTTTTTTCTCCCGCAGTTGAAAACAGATTTAGATCTTGCTTTTTTTTCTCCTGCAGCTGAAAACAGATTTAGATCCCACTTTTTTTCCTCCTCCAACAGCTGAAAAAGGATTTAGATCCCACTTTTTTTCTCCTGCAGCTGAAAACAGATTTAGATCCCACTTTTTTTCTCCTACAACTGAAAACAGATTTAGATCCCACTTTTTTTTTCTCCTGCAGCTAAAAACAGATTTAGATGGCACTTTTTTCCCCTACAACTGAAAACAGATTTAGATGGCACTTTTTTTCCCTACAACTGAAAACAGATTTAGATCGCGCTTTTTTTTCCTCCTCCAACAGCTGAAAACAGATTTAGATCCCACTTTTTTTCTCCTACAACTGAAAACAGATTTAGATCCCACTTTTTTTCTCCTGTACCTAAAAACAGATTTAGATCCCACTTTTTTTCTCCTGCAGCTGAAAACAGATTTAGATCCCACTTTTTTTCCTTCCTGCAGCTAAAAACAGATTTAGATCCCGCTTTTTTTCCCTCCTCCAACAGCTGAAAAGGGCATCCTCCAGCGCTCCTTTCCTCCCGTTTTCCACCCTGCCTCCCGGAGTAAAAGAAGGTGCCCCGGGTCTCCAAATCCCCTCCGGCACTGCCACGGGCGAGAGTAGTCGGGACAGCCTCCAAAAAAGCCCGATTCCCCATCTTCCTCCCTCCCACCGCCAGGGCAAACTCCCGCGGCGCTTGGGGGGGGGGGGGAGAGAGCTTTTGCTGGCCTTGCGACCTCCTCTTTTCTAAAGTCCCTTCGCCTCAGCTTTTGGCCTCTCCTTCCTTCAAGATGTCCCCGGACCCCAATTCCCAGCCTGCACAATCTGGAGAAGGGGGGGGGGGGGGGGTGGTTGTAGAGGAGAAAGGCAGACGCGCTCCGTCTCTCTCGCCTTTTCCCCGGGAAAGTTTTCCAAAGCAGCGCAGCCACTATTGGCGGGCGGGGTGGTGGTGGTGGTGTGAGTGTGTATCTGTGTGTGTTGTGTGTGTGTTGTGTGTGTGTGTGTGTGAGAGAGAGTTCCAGGAGACACCCCCTCCCCTCTCTCTCTCTTTCTCCCTCTCTCCCTCCCGCCCACCCGCTTCTCCCCCTCACCTGGCGGGAGTGGGCCTTGGGCTCCGGAGGCTTGAAGAAGGAGTCCGGCAGTTTGCGGAGCCGCATAGGGAGCGTGTGGGGCACGTTGGCGCCCTTGGGGTTCATGACGGCGTTGAAAAGGGCCTCCAAGTCCGTCTCCGAATCGCCCCGGACGTGGACGACTTGATGGCCGGCCGGAGGCGGCCCGGATACGGCTCCCCCTCCGGGCTGAGGCGCCGGCGGCGAAGCTTGTTGCCCCGTAGGCTGGGGCTGAGCCGCCGACGGCTGGGGCTGCGCCGCCGACGGTGCCTGCTGGGGCTGCCCGGCGGCGTCCATGGCCGTCTCCCCTCCGCGATCTCTCGCTCGCTCGGCTTAAGCAACAGCGTCGGGCTGGCCGCCCCGCATGCCCAAGAGCCGGGGTCGTTCGCTCCCTCGCCTCGCCCCGCGCCCGTCTTCCGCGGGAGGGGGGCTCCGGGGGCCCGGCAGGCGAGAGAGGGGCACTCGGGGCCTCCCGCGCTCTCGCTCCGCCGGACGCGAAGTCAGGGGCATAAAATCCGTCGCTTCGCGCACCAACCCTTTCCAAACAAAAGTTCGGAAAGACGCCCGCCCGAGCCTGCTCCGCCCAGCGCGGGCCCGCCCGCCCCGACTCCCGACGAGCAGCTTTAATTCCACTCAGTCGGGTTTAGGGAGCCGCCGCGGACGCCACCTTTCTCCTTTTTTTTTTTTCGCGCCCGGCCGCGCTGAAATTGAACGGCGCCGAACTTTGCCACGGAGGGTTCCCGAGTTTCCTTTCCACGCCCGTCCAGCCTGTAGTGGTTTTTTTTCTTTTCTTTTTTTCCCCCTCCCACTTCCTTCTCTTCCTAACTGGTACGGCTGCTTCTTCGACGCTTCCAGATTAACTTGTTTTCTAAATTCCTGGAGCCGCCCGTGCAGGATTCACCGTCGCCGATATGGACAGGAAACATGGGGTTTATAGTTCTGGTTCTCTTCTCTCCCTCCCACCCACCCCCCTTTTCCAAAAAGTTTTCCAACCCTCCCAGAGAGGGGAGGAGGAGGAGGAAGAGGAGGGACAGTTGGGACTATTTTCTCTTCCTCCCCCATACTGGAAGAAAAGGGGAAATAGCAACTAGACCCCGACCCATCAGGCTTAGGAAGGGGAAAAGAGAAAGGAAACACTTTTCCTTTGTCACCGATTGCCCCCCCCCAAATACACACTCTGCCACACACACACACACACCCCACTTGCTGTTGTGCAGATTTCTCCTCTTGGAATTCTCACAATCCCAAGGGCAGTGCTGGGAGTTGTAGTCCAAACGGGCTGGATGCGAGTCCTGACCAGCGCAAAAAACTCTTTTGATTGTAACCTGCATTTAGTTCTGCCTGCCACCCATGCAAAATCACCGCGCAGGACTCGTTTGGCAGCAGAAGAGAAATGCTTGTCGGAAAAAAAAAACAAAAACACGGGTGCAAAACACGCAGGTGTAAATAAAAGTACAAGTAACTGACGTAAAATAAAAAACAACAACATCGGAATGTGGCAGAGATGGCACTGTGGTTGTATGAGTGTTATTGTTTAGATGGGATCATTTCAGCTTTTCATAAGTTTTTTAATGCTTTTTTTCCCTTCTTTCTTACGTTATTATATTGTTCTTTTGTGTTTTCATATTTTTAATTGTCAGCCTTGCAGAGTCATATATATATATATATCAGAAGGGCAACTGTATAAATGTGGTACATAGACCCTAGTTGAGCATGATTAAATAAATCCTCAAGTTGATTCCTGGCGATTAAAATGGACATAACCTTACCAATTTTTGGCAACAGTACAGAAACGATAAAGACACTGGTTCAAAAAAGAGGCACGTTAATACCAAACAACACATAATTAGGATACACATCACAAACTACTTAAGATTTAGGATTGTTTTTTAAAATAAATAGGCATAAATACAAGAAAAAATTAAGAGACAAACTTCTTGTCCACTCCTCTAATCCTGTCAACCACTCCAGAATGTTATCTCCCTAAAACCTATTCTTGAATTTAATTGTTGAAATGATGATTGCATGTGATTGATGGTTCTACTCGCTATTTAAAGCTAATATACACAATAGTGCTCATTGGCAGGAACACCCTTCCCCTTCTATGGACTCAACTTCCCTACTTTTTTTTCTAAAAATTACATTTTAATTAAAATTAAACTTTGTAAGACTGAATTTGAAATAAAAATGTATACAAATGCTGAACATGTCATTCCTAAAATGTATACACTTCTTATATTTGAGGCAAAAGAATAATTATTTGATGTTTAATATTTTCATTTTTAACAATGGTTACACACACATATACATATGTGTGTGTGTGTGTGTATAGTTTTGTTTGTATGTTGTATACCACTTGGAGTCACTTTTTGTGAGATGGGTGGAGATACAAACTTGATAAATAAAAAGTGAAAGAATTGTAGGGGGTTGTCCTTGATTTGCAGTTGCTTACTTAGCAATCAAAGTTACAACCAACCTGAAAAACAGGACTTATGACCCAGATTCAAAGCTCCAACAGTCAACCCCCCCTCCAAACTTCAGGTGCTTGGCGACACAGCTGCATTTATAGCCTTTTGCAGGATTCACCAGTCACATGACCATGCTTTATCAGTCTTGCACTTCCAGTTTTTGCTTTGCTTAACAACCACATCATTCACTTAACCGTGAATTCACTTATCAACTATTGTGATTTCCTCAACAACTACTGCAAAAAAACATAAAATCAGTCAGTCATGTACAATTCCAGCAGGAGAGATGACACGTGCACCTCTAGGCCTGCACAATAATATGGGGACTGCTGTATTTGAACCAACGAATGTTTCTGGACACTTTGAAAAGGCAGCCCCGTGAGGAGGAGCATGTTTGCAATAATATTCTTAAGCAGTATTTCCTTTTCTTGTTAGTAATCTAAATTTTGAATAAATTTCTTCATGGAAGTCTTCTGTAAGAATTACAAATATATATTTTCTTTGAATTGAATCGTCTCAAAATAAAGGATTTATTCCACACATCTGTCCCATATACCGTATTTCAGAAATTTTCTTATCTCTTTCACTTTATTAGGAAAATTACAAACGCTGGGAGAGTCTTTTTTTTCTATCAACAGCCTATATTTCTGTCCTAGAAAATTTGGTCAGGTTCTTATTTAACTTTTAAGAGAGCTGTTAATATTGCTCTTCCACTTCTGCCTTCTGTAAGACTTATTTTTCTTACTTTTAATTTTGATGTTTGTTATCTTCTAAACTTTGTCAATTGTTTTAAGGTTTTAAATTATAACTCACCTAGCCATCCTTCAAGGATCAAAAAACGATCCAGAAATAACATTGTAAAATTATATAATGAGGACATAAATTCACATCATTGCAAGATTTCTGCTCAATAATTTATTATTTTTATAATTACAATAAAAGAATTATTAAAGTTGTCTAAGGATAAGATGTAAGTTAATTTAGCAATAGCCCATTTCAAGTACTATACGCAGGCATTGGTAACATTAATTTAACAACATTCTGACAAAATCAATTACATTCAGTTTGCAAGTAATTTCTAATGCTCTAACAATATTGGAATTCCAACAATCAATACTTAAAACAAAATCCTCTATTTACCAGAATTAATTGAATAACATGAGCAGTCACTCACAGAATGAAGGTACTCCAAAAACATGGTACAAAACATAGATATGACGATTCAAAGGATTCACAATCAAATAGGCAAAATTTTGTTCATGGCTGTTGGATGTAGGATAACAAAGGCCATCTGCATCCTAGAAGACAAAACATTAATCATTAATATAACACAGTGAATATATTAAGACGGTAAAATAATCACTTTCTGATTCTAATTTTGAAATAATCACTTAAATTTCATGAGGAAATAGGAATCAAAAATATGTGCCGAGTTGTATTAGGAAAATACAAATACAATGTGAAAATTGTAATTTAGATAAAACCTAATGGTGTGACCTTCCTTTAATACTTTTTGAGTGTTTTACCAGTAGGCTTCCTTTAATACTTTTTGAGTGTTTTACCAGTAGGTTTAAAATATTTGGCGTGTATTTACACAGAAAATCCTCTAAAAATATAAATCAATAGTGCAGTAACATTCTTTTTAATTACATTTATTCTTTTCTTTAAGTTCAGGGGAATTGCAAATGCATTTCTACTAGGTTAACCTAAAACAAGTGCCAGTTTGGTGGAATGGTTAAGGCATCACGTCAGAAACCAGGAGATCATGAGTTCTGGTCCCACCTTAGGTAAAAATACCAGCTGAGTGACTTAGGCTAGTCAGTTTCTCTCAGCCTTCAAAAAGAGGCAATGGCAAGTCATTTCTGAAATCTTGTTAAGAAAAATGCAGGGACTTGTCCATGGAGTTGCCACAGCCAACTCGCCATGACCATCTCACCACAAGGCAACTCACTGCGGGACAAGAGTTACACTAATATCAAAGAAATGGTTGGATAGAATCATTAAAGGATGCAAAAGGAGGGACAGAATGAAATGTGAATGGCAAAAATTAAAATAATTTTTATTTAGTTTAAATAATTAAACAGAACTGTTAAATTGTCCTGCGGTGAGTTGGTAGTGGAGAGTTGTCTTGCAGCGAGTTGGCCATGGTGAGTTGGCTGCAGCAAGTTGGCTGTGGCAAGTTGTCCCATTCCCTGCCAGGAGTCATGCAGGAGACATAAACCAGAAATTATAGTGGTAGAGAAGGACCAGAAGACAACGATGGTCATGGACGTAGCAGTGCCAAGTGAAGCAACATCAGGAAAAAGGAGAATGAGAAGCTGGAAAAGTATTAGAGCCTGAAGGAGAAACTAGAGATGATATGGAAAATAAACATCAAAGTAGTGGTAGGAGCCCTTGGGGCTGTGATTCCTAAGCTGGGACAATGACTCCAACAGAGCCCTGGAACAGTATCAGAGCTCAATTATATTCAATTCTACTAAACATACACAGCATTTTCCATGAGTTACAACTCGGTCTACTTAAAACTTTTATTATGATCAATTAAAGATCCCAAAACTTGTTTAAAAACTCAAGACAAAATTATCTGATCAACCACAAATCTAAAAAGATAAGAAAAACTTAAATGTAAAAGGTTTGGCTCATCTTTAGAAGAACTAGATTATCTGAAAAAGCACTGTCCTGGTATTACAATTTTAATTAACAAAATTAAAAATATTCTAAATCATTTTTTTCTTCTTCCAAAACGAATCAGGATTGTTTACTACCTCCTAGCTGATCTTTAGTCACCACGTGTGTATGTCTGACCACTCTAGCACTTAGATGGAAAATCCTCACGCGGTAGAAGTTTCCTTTAAAAAGAGTGACTTCACCTTTGAAGTCACCTAGTTTATTAAACAGGAAAGAGAAAAGGACAACCATCAACAAGGGTGGATGGACTCAGTTACAGTGGTGAAGATCAAAAGGACCAGGTTAGGGCATACTATCATAGGAAGAATGTTCTGGTCACCAACATTCAAAATTGACTTGCTGTCATATACCCTGTTTCCCCGAAAATAAGACTCTGTCTTATATTTTTTTTGAACCCTGAAATAAGCGCTTGGCCTTATTGCCATTTAAAA